AGGCAGGCGGGCGGAGAGGCCAAAGGTGGGTCGCGGCACCACACTCTCTTCTCGCCCGCCGCGCGCGATTTGGATTCGCCAGTCGATATAATAAGGTGATAAGTCGATAAGGAGCGCGAGGGAGTCGCGAGAGCGAATATCGCGCGCCATTGACGTCATCCCGCCACAGTCCCGCGCCGTGTGGCCGGCTGGGCCCGAAGCGAAAGCAGTGAACCCGATGCTAATTACTGAAAGTAAATGAGACATAACTTGACTAAGTATATTGCACTATCCAAGCGTACATTAAATTTTTTTTCGTCTCTCAATTTTCTTACATTTTGTTCAGATTTTTTTTTTTATTTACCATTTACCTCCTGGCTGTTTTTTTTTCTTAATTTTTTAGGGTGTGTACGTTTTGAGGGAACTAACCCTCAGTATTCTTTAGTGTCTTTTTTATAATTGATTTTTATTTAAAAAGGGTAGTACTGGTTTCGGCTGGTTTTGCCATCCGGGGGCTCCTATCCGCTCATACAAATCACGCACCACGCATTTTCGGCTCCTCTATTTGCAGGCGGTGAGCAGCTGGTGCAGCTGGCGCCACCACGCGCCGGCCCGCAGCTGCCGGGGTTCACACCTGTCGCCTAGCGACGCGCTCCTCCTATCAGGTGTGTGACTCGGCGCGTGACGGCGCGTGACGGCTCGTGACGGCGCGCTAAGACCCCTCACCGTCGGGTGACGCTGGTCGCCAGCCCCCGTCAGCCGCGCGCATCCGCCCCCCACAGGTCGCCCACGGGTCGCTTTGGTAATCCGGAGAAGGGGGTGGTCGGGGCGGTATAAATCCAGAGGTAATCCAGGAGTAATCCGGGTGGTAATTGCATAGGTAATAAAGTCATAGGTAGGCAAGTTGTAAAGTTGAGAAGGACATCGAGGGGTATTGTTAGGGGTGGTAATTTGAGGGTGTTACGAGCAGATAGAAGGTAATTCAAATAATGCTCCGTTGTACGCGCCAATTTTAGAAGCCGATTTTTTTTTTGCCGATTCGCACTGATTGGTGATTGGTTGGCGGCAGTCTTCGTCTCGTGCTTTGTTTCAAACTCTGATTGACCGACAAAACGGTTATTTCGGGTATAGCGCCATCGTCGTTGAAAGCAGGTCATTGTGCTGTTACTGGGGAGGACCGACTGAAATAGGGTCACACAGGAAACAGACATGATTTCGCTCCCATGCGAAAAAAGAAGGGGCCGATATGTGCTGCTGAGAAAGATCTAACTAAGTCCGGAAATAGGTCATAAATGGAGATGTGACCATAGTAGGGCGCTGGGAGACCGCGAACCGCTCGGGATATGGGAAATTTGAAAGGCAATAAAAAAAAAGAATTGGCCTTGCACTTCCATCATGTCGTCAAGTGGATTTCGTTTCGTCGTAGTACGAAACCTGCGCATATTCGTGTCCAGGACTTCCGGGCCGTGGTCAAGGATGCGCTGCCCGGCATGGACCTTGAACCGGGGCAGCGAATTTTACACGGACACACACATACACACACATACACACACACACACACACACACACACACACACACACACACACACACACGATGCAGTTATGTATACGCGAACGCCCCTCTAGACGGGGACTTGTGCCACCGTACTTAGCACCGTGTCAACTCCGTCCTGACGACAGGAACCCGATTTGCTTCCCGATAACTTTTCTCATCTTAGTTTCCTCATGGGAAAACTTTTATTTTCGTGCACTTTTGGGCCGGCGCGCACGCGGGGAGGCCCGCCACGGTGTCCACCAGCTCAGCCCGCCGGACCAGGGCGAGGGACGTGTCCGTCGCTAGCTGTTCTTGCCCCTCCCAGCTTCAGCCATAAATTTTATCTCCCATACACAAATATAACTAATCGCGTTTCGCTAATTTTTATAATGCGTCTCCCCAAGATAAATATTTCCCGCCCGCAGGGACCCCGCGCGGGGTCTGCAGCAGACAAACATCTCGGCGCGACCTAATCTTTATAGGTAAGGAGGAGGAGGAGGACCGACCCCGTAGTGTCACCCGGGGTCGATGGAACTGATATCCTTCACGCGGTGTTTGTGCGGCGGGGCGGCGTGTTGCCGGGGGCACGGGAATCTGTGGTCCCGGGGCTCTCGAGAGCAGCGAGAGCTCGACGGCGACGTGGAGCTTGGGAGACCGCGGCCACAAAGTAAGCATCTTTTCGTAGGCGTGTTATTGGATATCCATAAGCTAACATCAATAACTCCGAAGGGATTTGGCATAACTTGCATGTATTCTACAAACTGCGGCACACACAGCCAAAGATGTACAGCGTATGAAAAGAATGCCTCGTTTATTGAGTTTTGATTACGAAGTAGACAGCAAAGGTACCTGGCAAAAAGATGGTTTAAAGAGAGCTGTCACTCAAACGGGCCGAAGGCCCGTTTTCCGATAGAAGCTATATTACACCCTGAAAAAAGCAGAAGGGACGGGCAAAGGCCCGTCCCAAACGCCGCCGGCAGGCCAAGCTCGGCCCGCTCCCTGCCAAACCGAGTTGCCGGTGGAGCGAAGCGGAGCTGGCAACTTGGTTTGGCGGAAGAGCGGGCCTAGCTTGTCGTTTGTGACCCCACTTCCGTTTCACGGGTCGGCCTGCGTGCGAACACCACCCTCGCCCCGCCCACGATGCGGAGACTGAGGTCGGCGTAGAGCGGCAGCTGGTGGATGTCGGTGTAGGGGTCGTCGGCGCGCTCGACGCGCAGCTCCCGCAGGACGGTCGCCAGGAACGTCTTCATGTTCATCATGGCGTACTGCAAGCCCATGCAGTTGCGGGCGCCACCGCTAAAGGGCAGGAAGGCGCAGGGGTGGCGGCCGCGGCTGCGCTCGGCCAGGAAGCGGTCCGGGTCGAAGGCGAGGGGGTCGGGCCAGTGGGCCGGGTCGCGGTGCGCGCCAAACAGGTTGAGCAGCAGCGTGGTGCCGGCGGGCACCTTGTAGGAGGCGAGCTCCGTGTCGCGGTGCACCTGGCGGCCCGTCAGCGGCACGGGCGGGAACAGGCGCAGGGTCTCCTTGATGACGCGCTCCGTGTACTCCAGCCTGACGGGACGGGACGAATTGCGATGGCGTTGTAAAAGGTGGGCGTGGAAATTGAATTGAAAACTCTCACCTTTTTA